TTCAGTTCTAGTTCAGTTCTAGTTCAGTTCTAGTTCAGTTCTAGTTCAGTTCTAGTTCAGTTCTAGTTCAGTTCTAGTTCAGTTCTAGTTCAGTTCTAGTTCAGTTCTAGTTCAGTTCTAGTTCAGTTCTAGTTCAGTTCTAGTTCAGTTCTAGTTCAGTTCTAGTTCAGTTCTAGTTCAGTTCTAGTTCAGTTCTAGTTCAGTTCTAGTTCAGTTCTAGTTCAGTTCTAGTTCAGTTCTAGTTCAGTTCTAGTTCAGTTCTAGTTCAGTTCTAGTTCAGTTCTAGTTCAGTTCTAGTTCAGTTCTAGTTCAGTTCTAGTTCAGTTCTAGTTCAGTTCTAGTTCAGTTCTAGTTCAGTTCTAGTTCAGTTCTAGTTCAGTTCTAGTTCAGTTCTAGTTCAGTTCTAGTTCAGTTCTAGTTCAGTTCTAGTTCAGTTCTAGTTCAGTTCTAGTTCAGTTCTAGTTCAGTTCTAGTTCAGTTCTAGTTCAGTTCTAGTTCAGTTCCAGTTCAGTTCTAGTTCAGTTCTAGTTCAGTTCTAGTTCAGTTCTAGTTCAGTTCTAGTTCAGTTCTAGTTCAGTTCTAGTTCAGTTCTAGTTTAGTTCTAGTTCAGTTTTAGTTCAGTTCTAGTTGAGTTCTAGTTCAGTTCTAGTTCAGTTCTAGTTCAGTTCTAGTTCAGTTCTAGTTCAGTTCTAGTTCAGTTCTAGTTCAGTTCTAGTTCAGTTCTAGTTCAGTTCTAGTTCAGTTCTAGTTCAGTTCTAGTTCAGTTCTAGTTCAGTTCTAGTTCAGTTCTAGTTCAGTTCTAGTTCAGTTCTAGTTCTAGTTCTAGTTCAGTTCTAGTTCAGTTCTAGTTCTAGTTCAGTTCAGTTCAGTTCAGTTCAGTTCTAGTTCAGTTCAGTTCTTGTTCAGTTCTAGTTCAGTTCTAGTTCAGTTCTAGTTCAGTTCAAGTTCAGTTCTAGTTCAGTTCTAGTTCAGTTCTAGTTAAGTTCTAGTTCAGTTCTAGTTCAGTTCTAGTTCAGTTTTAGTTCAGTTTTAGTTCAGTTCTAGTTCAGTTCTAGTTCAGTTCTAGTTCAGTTCTAGTTCAGTTCCAGTCCATTTCTAATACAGTTTTAGACATGATGAATTCAGTTTGGTTTGTAGTGGACAATACAAGAATAAATCTAAGTTTCATATTATTCCAGTTACAGTGTTTAATTTTACATGTTTTTTATACTGTACTCAGTTTCTGTTACACCTGTTGTATTTAAAAACTCATTGTACTTTCTCATTGTTTTCAATGTGTTGTCCTACAAGTACATATTTGTTTCTATGTTATAAAAATGGCTCATTTCTTCACATCAAATAATACATATGTATATATGTTTTTATAAATATGTATTGTAAGCATGAAAGTAGCCATGTATGTATGTTAAATATTAATGTGTCTGTAAAAGCTTGTTGATAGTAGTCGTATTGCTGGTAATGGTAGTTGAAAATGTTGTCATTACTATTGTTATTACCTTTATACATTTGCAAATACTACAAAGTTTATGATCTACATAGACTAATGCTTACATCTGTATGTATACATTTACATGTATGTATACGTATATCTAAAAATAATAAAAGAACATTTCTTGTTGCTTTTTTCTTTGTTAAATTTTCTTTTCTCCACTGCTGCTTTATCTGACACTTTATGTGAAAACATTTTTGCACTTACAACTACACAACATTAGCATTTATAGAAAATGTTAGTACAATAATAAAAGACACAGACACACTTTTAAAAAGGCATAAAAAACCAGGCTCACACCAAGATTTCTTTTAGCAGATATTCAGAATATACATATGTATGTATATAGTAGTTTGAGTCTGTTCAAATGCGTAACGAAAAGGTGAATGTTCTTTTTAGATTACCTACTTATACAATGACATGTAGACGAATATAAATACATACATATGTATGTATGCCATTACACTTGATTTTACATATGTACCTACATATATATATATATACATTTATAGTTTTTCATTACATTGACACAAACGCATAACCCGGCAGCCCGGGGTGTATCTACATAATTTTGAAGATCGACTGAAGCAAGTTCGTAAAAAATACTTTTTAAATATCACATGCCGTCTTCATGTTTTACTGGGAATGTAAGAAAAAGGTGTAATATTTGCTATACACTAACATTTATGTATATTTGATACTTAAATAGTATATTGAAGTAGTAGTACGACTATGTAGAAAATAACAAAACAAGAATGTTAGAAAAAGTATGCTAAATATTTATGTTTCACGCTCATGATGATGTTGATGATTGTTATCTTAGAGTAGAAAAGTTTTACATTGCTATTTTATTTGCGTTCTGTACCCTAAAATAGATGTCGGAGGATGAGAAGCCTTCATATGTTTCAACCGATTCCGCCAACAACTTAAAGTACTCTTACTTATAGCAGGAATTATTTACCTATAGCCCAACTCCTTAAGGAAATTCGATATTAATCTTTAGAATTTTAATGTTGGATTAATATGTCAATACATATATATATATATATTTTTTTTTTTTTTGTTACCTCAATTAAAATTTTACCCAACATTTTAGAGACAGAATTCTAAGCAGTATAGTCCACGTCACATTCTACCTAAACCACTTCTTCTCATAATATAAGATTCTTATTTATTTAAGTTTGTTTTTCCTTTATTTGTTCCTTTTATTATGACACAAACTTTTTTATTTACATTCCTCTTATAATTGTTGCTTTAGTTAAAGTAAGTTGTAAGGAATGCAAATAAAAGATACACAAATTACAAAGGTAATAAAATCTATGAGATTTAAATTGTACCGTTTTTTTTTAATGTTTACAAGTGAAAAACACAAAAAAGAATGCGACTGAAATGTAATAAATAGCCCCAAGGTATGCTGTTAGTTTTGTAGTTATGACACAATTAAGCTGTTGAGAGTTAGGATTCAGTGGAATTTTTGCAAAAGAGTAGTGTGTACTTAGACGTCTATTGAAATGAGTTGTTATTAAAATTCTTAGCCAGAGTAATGGGACTCTAAAGAGAATGACAAAGAACAAAGAAGATGAATTGCAACTGTATTGGAACTATTTAAACTAGAACTGTACTAGAACTGAACTAGAACTATTTACATTAGAACTGTACTAGAACTGAACTAGAACTGAACTAGAACTGAACTAGAACTGAACTAGAACTGAACTAGAACTGAACTAGAACTGAACTAGAACTGAACTAGAACTGAACTAGAACTGAACTAGAACTGAACTAGAACTGAACTAGAACTGAACTAGAACTGAACTAGAACTGAACTAGAACTGAACTAGAACTGAACTAGAACTGAACTAGAACTGAACTAGAACTGAACTAGAACTGAACTAGAACTGAACTAGAACTGAACTAGAACTGAACTAGAACTGAACTAGAACTATTTACATTAGAACTGTACTGAACTAGAACTGAACTAGAACTGAACTAGAACTGAACTAGAACTGAACTAGAACTGAACTAGAACTGAACTAGAACTGAACTAGAACTGAACTAGAACTGAACTAGAACTGAACTAGAACTGAACTAGAACTGAACTAGAACTGAACTAGAACTGAACTAGAACTGAACTAGAACTGAACTAGAACTGAACTAGAACTGAACTAGAACTGAACTAGAACTGAACTAGAACTGAACTAGAACTGAACTAGAACTGAACTAGAACTGAACTAGAACAGAACTAGAACTGAACTAGAACTGAACTAGAACTGAACTAGAACTGAACTAGAACTGAACTAGAACTGAACTAGAACTGAACTAGAACTGAACTAGAACTGAACTAGAACTGAACTAGAACTGAACTAGAACTGAACTAGAACTGAACTAGAATTGAACTAGAAATGAACTAGAACTGAACTAGAACTGAACTAGAACTGAACTAGAACTGAACTAGAACTGAACTAGAACTGAACTAGAACTGAACTAGAACTGAACTAGAACTGAACTAGACTGAACTAGAACTGAACTAGAACTGAACTAGAACTGAACTAGAACTGAACTAGAACTGAACTAGAACTGAACTAGAACTGAACTAGAACTTGAACTAGAACTGAACTAGAACTGAACTAGAACTGAACTAGAACTGAACTAGAACTGAACTAGAACTGAACTAGAACTGAACTAGAACTGAACTAGAACTGAACTAGAACTGAAACTAGAACTGAACTAGAACTGAACTAGACTGAACTAGAACTGAACTAGAACTGAACTAGAACTGAACTAGAACTGAACTAGAACTGAACTAGAACTGAACTAGAACTGAACTAGAACTGAACTAGAACTGAACTAGAACTGAACTAGAACTGAACTAGAACTGAACTAGAACTGAACTAGAACTGAACTAGAACTGAACTAGAACGACTAGAACTGAACTAGAACTGAACTAGAACTGAAACTAGAACTGAACTAGAAATGAACGAGAACTGAACTAGAACTGAACTAGAACTGAACTAGAACTGAACTAGAACTGAACTAGAACTGAACTAGAACTGAACTAGAACTGAACTAGAACTGAACTAGAACTGAACTAGAACTGAACTAGAACTGAACTAGAACTGAACTAGACTGAACTAGAACTGAACTAGAACTGAACTAGAACTGAACTAGAACTGAACTAGAACTGAACTAGAACTGAACTAGAACTGAACTAGAACTGAACTAGAACTGAACAAGAACTGAACAAGAACTGAACTAGAACTGAACTAGAACTGAACTAGAACTGAACTAGAACTGAACTAGAACTGAACTAGAACTGAACTAGAACTGGACTAGAACTGAACTAGAACTGAACTAGAACTGAACTAGAATTGAACTAGAACTTTGCATATTTGTTAAAGGAAGATCAATAAAAATAATTAACCCTTAAAAAGTACAAATAACAAGTTTTTAAGCATTTAAAAAAATTTCTATTATTTAAATTATAATTAAAAATATTTGTTCTATCTCGTTTCAGATTTTACACTCACTAACCAACCAAAATGACTGTCTAAACATATTTGCATAACAACGAAAACCAAAAATCTTAAAAATCAAAATTTTGAAAAGTTTTCTCTTTTCTAGAATTTACTTGAAAACTTATACAAACAAAAATCTGCACGCATGTTGTTGTTATCACTTTTAGATAAAACAAAAACTCTAAACACTCTCCATATGAACTGTTATAAATTTCAACCTATAGAAACCTTATATATCTATTAAAATCCCTACAAAAACCTGGAAGTAATCCTCTTTCCCCCTTCTCCAACGCAAAGTAAGAATAACAATACAAAATTTTGTAACCCTGAAGTAGAAACCATACAAAATTTTTCAACATTAAAACCAGAAAACATATAACCCCTACAAAATCTAACTAGCTATGAATTTACATCATAATCCAAATAACGATGATGAATGTGACAATTCAATATCATCACAAACACAAGAACAGCAGCAACAACAACAACAGCAGCAGCAACATGGCAACACAGTATGTAAGGGCCAACATGTTTACCAAACAGAACACAGGAATAGCAGTAATAGATTTTGCCAAACTGGTCAGTTATTACAAAAGAAAATTATAACAATGTCAAACGCATCCACAACAGCTGAAGTAGCAGCATCATCAACAACAATTAAATTATTAAATAATACCTGCCCCACAGTAGTAGATGAACGACAACAACGACATGGCCAACAGCATCAACATGTTCAACCATTACAAAAGTGGCTACAACGACCACGGGGGCAGACGCTTGCAAAGAATGCACCAGTGATATGGAATTTACTAAATAACAAAATGTTCAAATTACACAACAATGTCTGTAAATATTTCCTAGTGATGTTTGTCGTGATATTAACAAGTTTTCCAGCTGCCACCGTTATGGCTTTGCCCAGTCTACAGGACACAAATACTACTACGAATAATGTTATACAGCAAATACATCACGAATATAAAAATGATAAAATTGCCACAATTAGTCAAAGTGTAAATAGTACTAGTAATTACAACAGCAACAACAACAACAACGATACCACAACAAATTCGGCTGTTAAAATAATATTAAATGATTATAATGATGCATTTTTGCAAATGTTACCCATGACTGAACAGGAGCAACGGCAGCAGGAACAGCATCACTCAAACGCTGCTAAAAATCATTTATTAGAAATGGAGCCGGATGTTACTGTCATACATGATGATCTTTTGGATAGTTTTCGTGGCACACATAGCTTGCCTCAGCAACCCATGTATACGAATGAATTGCTGTTCATATACCGGCTGGCAAAGATATGGCCGATTTGATTGCCGATAAATATGGTTTTATTAATATGGGTCAGGTGAGTAATAGAAATTAGTTTAATTTGTGATTGTATATTTAATGAAGCCTGAAAATATGCAATAATTTTTATATTATTATTACTCCTTGAGATATGCAGTACTTATTAGTACAAAAGAAATATAATTAGAAATGAACTGTAACTGCAACAGTTATTAGTTGTTCTATTTTTACTTTCGAATTTATTTAAAATTTTTCCAATTATTTTTCATTTAAACTTCTATATTCAATTAAACTTTTTCTTTATTGTTTTAAAATCTTCCCCTAGCGATCTCAAACTGTTCATTTTTATACATATATTTCTCCCCCTTAGAAAATGTAAATAATTGCTCAAAAGTTTGAAAATTGATAAAAATCCAAATACCAAATATGTAAAAAAAAAAAAAAAAAAATTTAATATTTTTGTAAACACTCTTTGCAATTCAATTCAATTCTTTGTCTTATTTTCACAATAATAAATTTCCACTTTTAATACCAACACATACATAGAAACCTAACATTTCAAAAACAAGCAGACATACATACCCTAACACATGCATAACATAAAAAGGACTTTATAACATTTATGCCATACCATTTGCACACAAACACTCGAACATACATTGACTTGGACTCATACTTTTCTCGTATTTTATTCCCCAAACAATTGGCGAATAGTATGTGACCGAGTATTTATATGGTTTGTTTGATTGAGGAAAAAACACCAGATATAGCCAATGGTACTAGTAAAGGTACCAAATACTATAAATTTGGTAATTGTACCTAGTTTGGACCATATTTCCATATTGCAACACGATTATGGGTTCGTCTATAGTTTGACCAAAGTATTGCCATGATTATAGTCTAACTAATGAAACGGACTATAATCTGATAGTCTCGGCTTGAAACAGAACTATAGAATGGGTTATAATTCCTATGAATGTCGGGTTATAGTTTGTACTATAGTTCAGACTTTAGTATGAACAATAGTCGGACAAACTATAGTCTAAACTAAAGTCTGAAAGACAATCTCGGTTACAGCCAGAATTATAGTCTGAACTTTAATCTATACTGTGGAATAAACGGAAGTCTGACCTAAAGTCTAGACCTCAATATGGTCTAAAGTCTGAACTATAATCTGAACTCCAGTTTAAACTATTCGGTCTTAAATACAGTATAAATTAACTTTAATCTGAAATATAGTTTAGACAATAGCCATATAGTCTCAACATTAGTCCGAGCCCAATTATGAACTTTAGTCTGAACTATAATCTGGGCTAAAATATAGACTGTAGACTGCAGTCTAGACAATAGTTAACCTATTATACTACTCTGACTTAAAGTTTTGACTAAGATCTGGACTATAAACTCGTCTTTATCCGGTAGTATGACGGAGTCTAGACCTCAATACGGTCTAAAGTCGGAACTATAATCTGAACTTCAAAAAAAGTATTAATTAACTTAAATGTGAACTACAGACCGATAGTCTCAACATTAGTCTGGGTCATTTTATGAACTTTAGTCTGAACTATAATCTGGGCTGAAGTATAGACTGTAGTCTTAACTGCAGTCTAGACTATAGTTAACCTACTACAGTACGGACTTCAGTATGAACTATAGTCTAAACTATGGTCTAAAATATAGTATGGCTTATAGTTTAGACGAAGGACTGGACTTTGAACTCTTCTATATTCGGAATGTATTGTCTCCTCTTTAGTTTCTACTACTTTCATTCTCGACTAAGTACAGTCTGTCATATAGTCTTGCCTAGCCTCTAGTCAAGAATATGACAATATATTTCACACTATAGTTTGGACTACAATCTTGACTTTATTCTGAATTATAATTCAGAAAAATTTTCATAAGTACTTTTCATACATGCAAAAAAGGTACTCACGAAACAAATGTACATGTAATCCCTGATCTGAACACATAACTGCAAGTAAAAGTGTGAGTTCACTTGCCTTGCATGAGTATGTGTATAAAATAAAATATGACTTCCTTTTTATTTCACTCGATGTTGTTGTTGGCATTTTTCTTTGTTTTGTAATAGATATAAAATAAATTTACTGCATTCACTCATATGATGAGAAGTTGAAATTATTGCAAAAAAAAAAAACATATAGGAAAAAAATAAAATAAACAAAAGTTTATTTAAGTTCTAGAAGGCAAGTGTTAAAAAGAGAAGCAAATGGCAGCAAGTAAGACGAAAAAAGAGATGTAAGTGTTGTCTTTTCTTGCTGTTAGAATCTCCCGGGAATGCTTGAGTTTTACTTACAAAGTTATAAATCAGTAAGAAAAATGTTAAGAGACATGTGATAATACTATAACAACAGACATAAAAGTGCTAAAAGAAGAAGAAATATTTTAAACAAATAAAAAGATGAGTAGAAATTTATTGAACTTAAGTAAAATATATCGTTATGGAGAAATATGTATTTTTAACATAATGGAATTGTTATATTTTTCTTGGTAACATATAAGTCATCAGTAAACAGTATTGGATAAAAGGAAATATAAATAAGAATAAAGTGTAATAAAAATTGACAAGAATAGTATAACAATGTCCTCATTATAAAGATTTCAGCAAATTATTCTAGTTCGGTTCTAGTTCAGTTCTAGTTCATTCTAGTTCAGTTCTAGTTCAGTTCTAGTTCAGTTCTAGTTCAGTTCTAGTTCAGTTCTAGTTCAGTTCTAGTTCAGTTCTAGTTCAGTTCTAGTTCAGTTCTAGTTCAGTTCTAGTTTTTAGTTCTAGTTCAGTTCTAGTTCAGTTCTAGTTCAGTTCTAGTTCAGTTCTAGTTCAGTTCTAGTTCAGTTTCAGTTCTAGTTCAGTTCTAGTTCAGTTCTAGTTCAGTTCTAGTTCAGTTCTAGTTCAGTTCTAGTTCAGTTCTAGTTCAGTTCTAGTTCAGTTTTCAGTTCTAGTTCATTCAGTTCTAGTTCGTTCTAGTTCAGTTCTAGTTCAGTTCTAGTTCTAGTTCAGTTCTAGTTCAGTTCTAGTTCAGTTCTAGTTCAGTTCTAGTTCAGCAGTTCTAGTTCAGTTCTAGTTCAGTTCTAGTTCAGTTCTAGTTCAGTTCTAGTTCAGTTCTAGTTCAGTCAGTTCTAGTTCAGTTCTAGTTCAGTTCTAGTTCAGTTCAGGTTCTAGTTCAGTTCTTTCAGTTCTAGTTCAGTTCTAGTTCAGTTCTAGTTCAGTTCTAGTTCAGTTCTAGTTCAGTTCTAGTTCAGTTCTAGTCAGTTCAGTTCTAGTTCAGTTCTAGTTCAGTTCTAGTTCAGTTCTAGTTCAGTTCTAGTTCAGTTCTAGTTCAGTTCTAGTTCAGTTCTAGTTCAGTTCTAGTTCAGTTCTAGTTCAGTTCTAGTTCAGTTTAGTTCAGCAGTTCTAGTTCAGTTCTAGTTCAGTTCTAGTTCAGTTCTAGTTCAGTTCTAGTTCAGTTCTAGTTCAGTTCTAGTTCAGTTCTAGTTCAGTTCTAGTTCAGTTCTAGTTCAGTTCTAGTTCAGTTCTAGTTTAGTTCTAGTTCAGTTCTAGTTCAGTTCTAGTTCAGTTCTAGTTCAGTTCGTTCAGTTCTAGTTCAGTTCTAGTTCAGTTCTAGTTCCGTTCTAGTTCAGTTCTAGTTCAGTTCTAGTTCAGTTCTAGTTCAGTTCTAGTTCAGTCTAGTTCAGTTCTAGTTCAGTTCTAGTTCTAGTTCAGCTCTTGATCTTCTAATTAACGTCTTTATGATTACCATACAAATATATTTTATCCTTTTAACAAGGATTAGTCCAATATTCATACATTTAATACAAAGTGACAGCAACCAAATTCTACATTTCTTATACAATAGTATCAAACAACATTCATTAAAAATGTTGGTTGAAATTTAATCAAAAATGTATAGTTTTGTGATTCTAAAACACTAAATAAGTGTTTTCATGTAAGCATGTTGGGTAAAACTATAGAAATGGACAAAATTTTTCAAATTAATTTAAAAAAACAAGTCATTAAAAATATGTTTTGAGGAAATACAAAAACAAAAAAGGAACTAAATTGCCAAAGCAGTTGAAGAATTTACACATCCATATGTATGCATGTACCTAAGTGTTTGTATATACAAATAAACAATTCTTTAGTAAATGCTGTAGTATTTAGTTTGGTAAATATACAACTACACATACATATATTCACATACGTTTGTTTTCTAAAGTCTGCTAAATAAACCAACAATTTTAGTTGCATATTCAGACATAACTAACATACAAATATACATACATATATGTATGATTGTTGACGAATTCAACAGTAAATATGAACACATGCAATACTATCTAATTTATACATACGGTGTGTGTGTGTGACTCTATACTACAGGAACTTAAACATATACACTCACGTTTGTCTATTTACATACTTAACAAACAACAATGAAAACAGAACAATTTAACATGCACATTTATGCACACAATAATGTTGTAATTGTTGTTGCTGTGTATATGACTGCTTGTATTGCTGTTACACATATACATGTATACTTATAAAAAGTAGTGTCCTTGTTGCATGAGAGTTGTTAAAAGGAAAATACATTAAAACAAATACTAACCGGAAATACGACAAAACTATAGAGAATTCAGCAAATATTTATTAGTATACACATACATATATATTTACATACATATGTATTTACTATTACAGACATACTTGTGTGTAAGTATTATCAACACATTGACAATTACAGCTGCATGCAGTGATATTGGTTGGGGGAAGAAACACCAGAACTGAACTAGAACTGAACTAGAACTGAACTAGAACTGAACTAGAACTGAACTAGAACTGAACTAGAACTGAACTAGAACTGAACTAGAACTGAACTAGAACTGAACTAGAACTGAACTAGAACTGAACTAGAACTGAACTAGAACTGAACTAGAACTGAACTAGAACTGAACTAGAACTGAACTAGAACTGAACTAGAACTGAACTAGAACTGAACTAGAACTGAACTAGAACTGAACTAGAACTGAACTAGAACTGAACTAGAACTGAACTAGAACTGA